ATTTGAGTCCTAACTCAGTTACTTAGTACTTCTATTAAGTATTCAATTGCTTAATACTTCTATGACTCAAGGAAATTTTGAATCTCTCCATGCCCTGGTTTCTCATGTATAAATATTGTCATGTAAAAACTATTTCAAAGACCTGTAGATCTTCAGTGCATTAATTCTCTCACATGCATTTATATATTTGTCGAAATAGAACCAAATGTTGTTCATGTATTTCTTGTTTAAATCTCTCCACTGCACCCTAGAACTTCATACTGGACATTTACACCTGACTGTGCTAAAGGTACTGTATTAGTTTCCTACTGCTGCATTAACAAATTACCACAACCTTCTGGCTTAAAACAACTTAAAAGTTTTTACCTTATAGTCCTATAGGTTAGAAGTTGGACATGAATCTCAATGGACTAAACTCAAAAGCATTGGTAGGACTGATTTCCGCTCTGGAGACTCAAGGAGAGAACCTGTGAGCCTGCCTTTTCCAGTAGCCACTTGGATTCCTTGGTTTATGGTCCCCGTCCTCCCTCTTCTTTTGTGTCTCTTTTTCTGACTCTCCTCTGCCTCCCTCTTTATTTTTTTTTAATTAAAATACAATTCACAAACCATAAAATTCACCATTTTAAAGTATAAATCTGAGTGATTGTTAGTATATCTACCAAGTTGTGCAAACATCATCACTATAAAATTCTAGCACACTTCCATCATCTCTGTAGGCACCCACATCCCTTAATAGCCATTCCCCATTCCTGCCCACCTCTCCCTCACCCCAGGCTGGCAATGGATTTACTTTCTGTCACTAGGAATTTGCCCATTCAGGGCACCTCATATATTTCACACATGGTATTTTTCTGACTGGCTTCTTAGCATAATGCTTTCTAGGTTCAGCCATGAAGTGTGGTAGCATGTTGCGCTACTCTATTCCTTTTTTATGTCTGAGTAGTATTCCATTATATGGATATACCAAGCATCTTTTTATATGCATATTAGCCATTTATGTATCTTCTTTGGAGAAATGTCTGTTCATGCTCTTTGTTCATTTTAAGTAAATTGTTTCTTGTCTTTTTATTTTTATTTTATTGGGTTGTCAGAAAAGTCATGACACATTTTTGCATAGAAAAACACATCATGACTTTTCTGACAACCCAGTATGTTTTAGGATTTTGCCACAGGGCACATGCACTAGCCATAGAGAGAGAGATATGGAGACAGAGTGAGGGGAAGTGAGAAATAACCTCCCCGCCCCAAGGGGAGAGGGGGATAGCCACACCACAATCCCTTCTTCTCCATTCGCCTCTCAAGATTTTGGACACACACACACATGAGCCTGTTGTGATTTTTAAGCCACCAGATGTGGGACTTAAACCATGATCAGCCATGTGGAAATCTAGCACATTAACTATCAGGCCATCCATCTGCTGATCTCTGTCTTTTATTATTGAGTTGTAAAAGCTCTTTTTATATTCCAGATGTTAGGTCCTTCTCAGATATATGATGTGCAAATATTTTCTCCCATAATGTGGATTATCTTTCCATTTAAAACTTTTTTTAATTTATTTTTTTTATTCATGACGGTGCTCATGTGTGCATGGATGAAAATGAGAGAGTGAGAGAGAGAGAGGAGGAGAGAGAGAGGAGAGAGGAAAAGGTACCCTCCACAGGGTTTGTCACACCTGTTGGCTCTTGTGCCCTCATGCATATACCCAGCGTGTTTCCGGTTGACCACACCAGGGCTTCAAACTGCAGTTACCATGTGGAGTCCAGCTTTCCTTGAGCAGTACATTGTCGCTGCACCACAGAGCTGGCCTCTCATTTCTCCCTTTTCATAATGCCCTTTGATACACAAAACGTCTTCATTTCGATGAAGTCCAGTTTACCTGAATTTTCTTTGGTTGCTTATCCTTTGGATGTCATATCTAAGAAGTCGTTATCTAAATGTCATGAAGTTCGTTTTTTTGTTTGTTTGTTTGTTTCCCTTAAGCATTGTATAGTTTTAAATATTACATTTAAGTCTGGTTCATTTCAAGTTAATTTTTGTGACTGGTATGTGGAAGGGGTCCAAATTATTCTTTAGCATGTGGGTATCAAGTGGCTTCACACTATTTGCTGAAAAGACTATTTTATTTTTCTCCCCATCGATGTTCTGTCACCTTTGTCAAAAATCAACTGATCACATGTGTCAATTTTGGTGTTTCTTTGTTTTTTTCTTTTTCTTCTTTTTTTTTAGGTTTTTGCCATAGCACATGTATATTTGCCCAAGAGAGACAGACGGAGACAGTGAGAGAGAAAGTGAAAATCACCCCCTGGGGGGGGATGGCCACACCACGATCCCGTCTTCTCCATTCTCCTGGAATTCTCAGCACATACGCACACGCACCTGGTGTAATTCTTTTTTAGAGTAATTTTTGCTATAGGGTACATGTGCTCACCAGTGAGACAGAGACCATGAAATCATGGTCACACTTCAATCCTCCTATAGCCTAATCCCAGGATTTGGGGCACTCACACACAAGCGTCCGGCCTGATTTTTAAGTTGCCAGATGCAGGATTCGAACTGCAGTCGACTATGTGGGAGTCTAGTGACGTAGCCATTACACCATCTGCTGGCTTCAATCTGGTGTAATTTTCAAGCTGCCAGTTCTGAGTTTGCCACCACAGTCAGCCATGTTTTTCTAATCTTATACCAATAGCACCACACTGATGAGATCACTGTTTCTGCAAAGTAGGGTTTGGTATCAGGAAGTGTGCATTCTGCAACTTTGTTCTTTTTTAAGATTATTTTAACTATCCTCAGTTCCTTGCAATTCCATGTGAATTGTAGGATCAGCTTATCTGTTTTTAAAAAATTAAATAAATAAATGACGTCAAAGTTTTGATAAGGATTGCATTACATCTGTAATTAATTTGAGCACATTTGCAATTCTTTTATTTTAAACACATGCTTACATATTGAATTTCTGGAATTCTTTAGTTAAATTCTTGGTATCAAGATGAATATATTTAAAAGTAGTAACTTGAAATCAAATTCATGCTAACTTAGTGAAACACCAAAATTAGATGAAAGAGTTAAGTCAAATTTTTATTAATGTAGGATATTTAGAAAACACTATGTCCTAGGAGAATTTTGTGCCTTCTTTTCATGTAATTCACCTGGTATTCTCTGAAGCCCTGAAAAAATACGAGATTTTTTCAGAGTTCTTCTGCAATGCCTATAGTAGAAGTAGAAATCAGTGAATATTTGGAAATTAAGGAAGTAGCTAATTTAGATAAGAAAAATATATGTATTTCGAAGCAAAAGAAAACACAAAGTTTTTGAAAAAATAACACTGTGAAAATAATCTATATACTCTCCCAGGAATCTATGCTGTTATAGAAGGAATACGTTATATCTTTTTTTTACATTTTTTTTTGTCTGTCAGATGTTTCCATCTTAATAGTATTATGCTTCTATTCCAAGAGTGCAGGATATTATCCATTTATTTGGGTCTTCTTTAATTTCTCTTAGCAGTATGTTGTAGTTTTCAGTGTTAATTCTTACACTTCTTTAGTTAAAGGTATTCCTAGTTTTGCATTCTTTTTAATGGTATTGTAAGTAAACATGTTTAATTTTATTTTTGGATGGCTCATGGCTAGTGTATATAAATGCAACACATTTTGTATGTCGACCTTGTATCCTGCAGAGTAACTGAACTTATTAGCTCTACTAGCTATTTTTGTGGATTCTTTAGTGTCTTCTATACATAGAAGAACATGTCCTCTGCTCAGGATTGCAGACGTAGTTGACACCACAGCCTTCAGGGATGAGCCAATACACATAGTTTTACTTCTTCCTTTTCAGTCGGATGCCTTTTGTTTTCTTCTCTTGCATAGGCATGGTAAGAGCAGCATTGTTGGATTTTCTGCTCTTAGGAGCAAAACTTTTAGTCATTCACCGTAAGGATGACAGCTATGGGTGTTTCGTAGATGTCCTTTAATAGTTTGGAGACCTTCCCTTCTACTCTTTGTTGCATTTTGATCATGAAAGGGTTTTGCATATAGTCAAATGTGTTTGAATGCATCTATTGAGATTCTCATGTAGTTTTTTTTCCTTATCCAACTATAGCTGTATTTTACTGACTCGTTTTTGTTAAATTTTGTTGAAACCTATTCATTTCTGAAATAGAATCCACTTGGTCGTGATGTATAATCCTTTTTATATGATTCTGTTACTAGCATTTTGTTGAATGTTCAAAAGAGATATTGGTCTGGAGTTTTCGTTTTTTGTTTCCTGTGATGTTTTTGTTTGGCTCTGGTATCAAGGTCGTAGTGGTCTCATAGACTAAGAAACACTTCTACTGTTTAGACGAATCCGTGAAGTATTGAGGTAATTCGTTGGTAGAATTCACCTGTGAAACTCTCTGGTCTTGGCTTTTCTCTGATGAGAGATTTTTGGTTACAGAGTCTCTTTACTTGCTTTAGCTCAACTCAGATTTTCTGCTTCTTGAATCACTGTTTATAGTTTGCAACTTTCTAAAAATTTGTTCGTTTTTTTCCTACATAGTCTAATTTCTTGTCATACTTTTCTTTTTTTTTTTTTTTTAAGGTGGACAGAAGTAAGATTTATTGGTGAGCATGCTTAGGGAAGGGGCAGTACACTGAGAGCCCTCACAAGTGCAAGGTCACCACTTGTGTAAGGGACTACGATTGGGGATGTGTTTGACAGTGCAGCCATAGGGAATGAGCCACTTCTCAGCCACCATGTCTTCAGGCTCATCAGTATTGAATTTGGTAAAGCCCCCACTTCTTTGAGATGTGGATTTTCTGACAGCCAAGAAACTTGAACTTGGCCTTGATCACATGCTCCTTGTCCTGTAGCAGCTTGATGCCAATGGACATGACAACCGGGCCAATGTGGACCCTGGCCTCCATGCTCTGGGGCTTTCCAAAGGCACCTCTCATATGTGTCTAGATCCTAGACTGGGGACAGCACGAGGGACGAGACGTGACCATCCACTGAAAAGGACTGTCTCCAAGGTCCCTTACGTCAACTGATACAAACGACAGACTGCATACATTATCCAAGAGGCTGCTGTTTGCAGCCATTGCAGTCCAAGCCCCCATGAGGAAAGGGGCAGAGTCAGCTTACCTGGATCAGATGTTGTCATACTATTATTTATAGTATTTCACTAAAATCTTTATTATTTCTATTGATAGTAATGTCTCCCCTTTCCTGATTCAATAATTTGAGTTTTCTGGGGTTTTGTTATTGTTATTGTTTTTGGAGAGGTTTTTTGGGTTTTTTTGTTTTGTTTTGTTTTTTGTTTGTTTGTTTGTTTGGTTTTTTGGGGGGAGAGATTTTCACTGTAGGGCGCGTGCGCTCGCCAGACAGACAGAGAGAGACATAGAGACAGAAAGCGAGAAATCACCCCCCGGGGGGATGGTCACGCCACAGTCCCTTCTCCTCCATTCTCCTCTCAGGATCTTGGGCACGCACGCACACGTGCCCGGCGTGAGTTTTAAGCCACCGGGTCCGGGACGCGAACCACGGTCGACTATGTGGGAGTCCAGTGACATAGCCATTACGCTAACTGCTGGTTCCCTTGTTTTGTTTTTTGTGCTATAGGGCGCATGGGCTCACCAGATAGACAGAGAGAGAAAGAGAGACAGAGAGACAGAAAGTGAGAAATCACCCCCCTGGGGGGATGGCCTCCCCCACGCCACAATCCCTTCTCCTCCACTCTCCTCTCGGGACCTTGGGCACGCACACACATGCGCCCGACGTGAGTTTTAAGCCACCAGGTCCAGGACGTGAACCGTGGTCGACTACGTGGGAGTCCAGCGACATAGCCATTATGCTAACTGCTGGTCCAACTTCTGATTTTATTAATTTTCTGTATTACTTTTCTAGTCTCTATTTTGTTTATTTCAGTTCAAATTTTTGTTACCTGCTTCTAATAGCTCTGAGTTCAGTTTGCCTTTTTTTAAAATGTTTTATTGCTGTTCATGAGATATTTATTCTTTTCAAGATGTAGGTATGCATTTATAACTATGCATTTTACTCTGATCACTGCTTTCATTGTACCTTGGTCTGTTAGTGTTCCTATAAAGAACATCTGAGACTGGGATTTACAAAGAAAAGAGGTTTATTTGGCTCATGATTCTGATGACTGGAAAACCTAGGAGCAGAGTGTCATCTGGCCAGCCTCTGATCCTATGGCATGACATAGCATCTGCTTTTTCTCTGCTGAGAAAAGCAGAAAGGAAACAGACATGTGCAGAGATACAGAGATACCTGTGGGTGGCAAATTTTGCTTTTATAACAACTGGCTGTCTTGGGAACTAATTAGGAAAACTGAGACAGCCTTGATCTATTCCTGAGGGATCTGCCCCCGTGTCCTAAACACCTCACACTGGGCCCCATTCCCAACCCTGCTGTATTGATTATCAAATTGTTGTATGAGGTTTTTGTGTGACACAATATTTTCTGATCTGCCTACTTATCTATTGACTATAACAAATGAGATATTGAAGTCTCCAACTATGGCTGATTGTTTATTTCTTTGTTCAATTTTGTCACTTTTTTGTTTGCTTTTTTATTATTTTTATTTTTTGAAGAATTATTTTATGGGAACCAGCAGTTAGCGTAATGGCTATGTCGCTGGACTCCCATGTAGACGACCGCAGTTCACGTCCCGAACCCGGTGGCTTAAAACTCACGCCAGGCACGTGTGCGTGCGTGCCCAAGATCCCGAGAGGAGAATGGAGGAGAAGGGATTGCGGCGTGACCATCCCCCCTGGGGGGTGATTTCTCACTTTCTGTCTCTAATGTCTCTCTGTCTGGCGAGCGCACGCGCCCTATAGCAAAAATCTCTCCCCCAAAAAAGAATTATTTTATGTAACTTTCTTTATTATTATTATTTTCTGGTTTGATCAGAGAGAGAGAGAGAAAGGGAGACAGCAAGCCACCAAGTCCAGTACTTCAACCACAGTTAGCCATATAGGAGTCAAGCACCTGTAACCATCACGCTACCTGCTAGCCCCTGCAACTTTTTTTTTTTCGATATCACAATTAATTGTGTATATCTGCACAGTGTATAACTTTTTTTCTAGCTTGATTACCATGCATATCAGTCAATATAAAGACATTACTATCACATCAGCAGTAGCAAATAACTTTTCATTTTTTTTTTATTGTTCTAAAGTGTCTTCCTTTGTCTCTAGTAACAATTTGTACCTAAAGTCCTTTTTGTCTAATATTAGTCTATCTACTGCAGTTTTCTTTTGATTGCTGTTTGCAGATTTCCTTTCTGTTCTTTTACTTTTAACCTATTTGTGCCTTTGTATCTAAAATGAATCTCCGACCAGCAGGCACATGGCGGTGAAGGTGCTGGATTCCGCATGACTCAAGTCCTAGACCTGGCAACTTGAGAATCATGCTGGGCACATATGCGTGCATACCCAAAATCCCAGGAGGAGAATGGAGGAGAAGGAATCAAGGCATAGCCATTTCCGGAGGGTGGTTTCTCACTTTCCTTCTCTCTTTCTGCTTCTCTGGTGAGCACACATGCTCTATAGCAAAAAAAAAACTAAAAAAAAAAAAAATGAGCCTCTAGTAGACAGCATATGATTGGATCATGTTTTTAAAATTCATCTACCAATCTTTGACTTTTAACTAATTTAATTTAGTTGTACATTTAATGTCACTGTTGACAAAATAGAACTCACATTTTTTATTTGCTATTTTTTACATCATCTCTTGTTCCTCAATTTCTACATTGCTATCGTCTTTTGTGTTAAATAAATATTTCTAGTATACCATATTAATTAGCTTGTAGTCGTTATCTATTTACTATATATTTCTAAATTATTTCCTAGTGGTTTTCCCAGTGGTTACAATAAATATCTTAAGATTAACAGATTCGCAACCTCATTTGCACCCGTAACTTAATTCCTTTTTGCCATGTAAAGCAATTTACTCACAGGTTCCAAGGGTTAGATTGTGGACATGTGAGGGGGTCATTATTCTGCCTATCAAAGGTATCTAAAAGCCAATATGTCCAAGGCTCTTTCCTTAAATGTGTGTACACAAATGCAGTTATGTGCACACAAATCGACCCCACGAAATAAGAAAAAGACCAACTGTTGGTGCTTTTCTGGTGCTTCCGCGTCTCTGTGACTGGCAGAATGATCTAAGTTACTGTGTAAGCCAGACCGTGACTCACATTTGACACCTTTCCCTCTTACCTTCAATTCATCACCCAGTTCTGGTGGTTTACCCCCCCAGATTCTCTGTAACTGGCCTGCTGTTCTGCCTTTCTAATTCCATTGCTCTAACCTAAACCACTTTTTATCATCTATTTCTTCATTATAATATCCGAAGAACTCCTTTTAGACATTTTTTTCTAACTGCACTATGCATGAAATGTTAATATCGCAGCTCTACTGTATAGCTGGGATTTATACATAAATCACAACACAGGAAGGAGTAAGAATGACCAAGGAGGCCAGCCTCGGGCATGCAGGCAGTAGCGTCCTGAACTGCAGCGCTGGAGGTCATAGGGCTAACCGCAATTCGGATCCTGACTCAATCTACAAACACACTGGCTGTGAGTGCGCTCAAGACCTTAATGAGCTGGGAGGTTAGAGAAGGGAATTGACAAAGGTGACCTTCCTATAACATATAACATACCTATGCTCTCTCTCAGGAATAAAAATGAAATACATTTTTTAAAAATCGCAAAATAAAAAACATTTTAAAGTTAAGTAAATTAAAAGTTAAATTATCCATTTTTAAGTTAACTTTAAAACTATATATACTAAGTCTGAATGTTCTTTATATGCTTATATAAATCATAATGTATCAAATTACATATGTAAATGAGAACCTTATAGAAATACATAATAGCAAGGGAATTGAATTTTTAAAAATCATTCAAATTATATCTTCCCACAAAGTAAAACTATTGAAAAATTTTAATTTCTTAAAAATTATTTTTAGCACATTTAACATTTGACTCTCGATTAATATGAGAAAATCTTTTTTTTCCTTAGAGAAAGATTTTTGCTCCAGGGCACATGTGCTTGCCAGAGAGACAGGATGCAAGAAATCCCCGCCAAGGGGGATGGCCACACCACAATCTCTTCTCCTTCATTCTCCTCTCGGGATTTGGGGCACATAAGCACCCGTGCCCAGTGTGAATTTTAAACTGCCGGGTCCAGGACTCAAACCATGGTCGTCTACATGGGACTCCAGTAACATATCCATTACGTCATCTTCTGGTACCAAGAAAATCTTTTAATTTAACTAGCTGCTAGATATATGTTCCATTGTTATTGACATTTTTTTCTTTTTAACATTCGATGAAATGAATGATAAACTGATTAATCTTTGTCAAAATAAATAGTAAAATATAAAGTATTTTAATTTAATTCTCAAAGACCAATGCACACATAAAAGGACCAAACTTTAAACAACACAAGATCAATAGCAGCCCATAGCCCATGCTCAGCCATGTCCTGTAATATGACTTCAAGATCAAATAACCAGGCTAGCTCTGTGGGCTGATGGTTAAAGCAACCATCTCCCACATGACCAAACATGCAGTTTGAGTCCCAGACCCAGTGGTTTGAGGAACATGCTGAACGCATGTGCATTTATGTCCAAAATCTCAAAAGGAGAGAGACATGGAGATGAAAGGATTGTAGGCTGAATATGCTGCATGGGCGGGGGGTGCTTTCTTCCTTCCCACTCTCTCACTCTCTGTCTCTCTCTGGCAAGCACACATATACTCTGGCCAATAATAATAATATAAATAAGTAAATAAATAAAAACGAATACTTTTGCAGGACGATGTCTTCTAATCACGGCCCACACTTTTACAGCCCTGATTTTTTCACGCATACTGTTTAATCTTCCATGAATTGATGGTCAGTACTACTCATGTGATACTGAAACAACACCAAAAGCCGACAGTAGGAATTACAGGGTTGTCAGAAAAGTCATGACGCATTTTTGCATAGAAACACTACGTCATGACTTTTCTGACAACCCAATAAATACTAAGGAATGACATTTTATCAGGCAGCTTTGTAGGGCCATAAACTAACATCAATAGCTAAGATTGTTGTCTGCCTCCAGGAAGCAATTTTTACTTG